ATATATATATAAGCCAAGATGGCCGCGCTCAGCCGAGTTGCAGCTTCACAGGCTCCCAGTGAACTCAATCTTTTTTTATTCCTGTTGTTTTTGTTTTAATCTTTTTTTTTTTGCGCCTACAATGCACATCCACAGTATGGGTATGACCACGACACACTTGTGGAGTTTTCTGTGTCACTGCCGTGCTATCATGGTTCAGTCCTTCCAGCCCTCGTGCTAAGGCCTGTCATGGCGGCTGTCTCCATGATCCTCCATTTGCCTGCACGGATTGAACTCTACTGACCCGTTCGGTTCTCCGGGGAAACATGGATGTTCTTCATCTGCCGGACCTGGTTCTGGAAGGCTGTCTGGGAGGGCAGCTGCTGTGGTCATTGTTACCATCGAACTGCTGACAAGACCTGCTAACTAGAAACTAGACCTGCTAATGCTAATAACAAGATCCTCTGTCTGCCTGACTGGATCGAACTCTGCGGACCCGCTTGGTTCCGCGGGGGAACCTTGGATGCTCTCTGTCTTCTGGACATGGTTCTGCAGGGCAGTCTGGGAGGCAGCTGCTGTGGTCCTTATCATCATCAAGCTACTGAAGGGACCTGCTAACAAGACCTGCTAATGCTGCTAACAACACCACGCCGTTAACAGTACCATGGTGCCAACAGGACCATGTTGCTAAGAGAAACCTCATTGCTAACCGAACTTCACTGCTAACAGTATCATGCTACTAATTGTCCCACGTTGCTAAGATAACCTCCCTGTCATCAAAACCACTCTGCCAATAGGACCATGCTGTCGTAGATTTATTTCTTTTTCACTTTTGGTGCCTTGTTTCTGTGTTTTTGTTGCATGCTTTGAATAAATCCCAGTTTATGTTAGTTTTGGGGTCAGCTCCGAGCCCGACTCCACTTGCATTAAGCGTGTAAATTATAGCCGAACAGAACCTATGAGAATCGTGCTGCTGCTGGTCGGTGTTTTGTTTTGCACTATTAGTGGCTGGCATATATCTTATATCTTTTAGTGTACTGTGTGACATTTGATTAGCGTATATCTTCCTTTATATTTCAGATCCTTATTTACTGTTTCTTGTTCCACTTTATATTTCTGCTATTGTTTGATGTAACTGGGACCCTGTGTACACAATTTCGTTCCACTACATGTACCACATGTGATGCAAATGATAAAGAAACTCTGACTCTGATATATATTTACAGTACCTAAATTTTATGTATGTATGTATGTATGCATGTATGTATGTATGTATGCATGCATGCATGTATGTATGTATGCATGCATGCATGTATGTATGTATGTATGTATGTATGTATGTATGTATGTATGTATG